ATAAAATGTATAACAGGCGCAAAACAGTGATAACGACTATGAATATTGCTATTGCTAGAAACGCAACTACATCCATATCAGTTCTTTGGTACCAGGGTTCATCAATGGTACTAGACCTCAGATGAGGTGCACCTTTGTGACGTATCACATATTCTATCCACCAAATTGCATATTCCATAGGATCGTAAGGATTTTCTCGAACAAGGGCTTTGAGTTTTACCATTCTTTCTTTGTATCTACAAAGCAAAGAGACAATCATTGTACAGTAGATTAAAAACTCAAAAGACTGGTTAATAAAGAGATACTGGATTCTCACCCTTTATCGTTGATCATTTCCTGTATAGAACTTTGAAAATCCTCTTGGTTCAATTCCAATAATTCCAATCTCTTAGCAACACCAATAGACACCATTTTGTTAACTTGATAATCTTGATCACCAAGAACTGGTAATCCCAGTAGTGGTACTGCGTAGTGTACAGCCTCCTCCGTGCTCTGAAGTCCACCTTGGTACACGAATAGTTTGATGTTTCGATGATCTAAATGGAAGATGACAATTTTATTCTGGACCAATTGGCATCGCGATGCTGTGTCTTTTCAGTGAACTCACTTAGAACGGATTCCTGAGGCAGCCAGTTCGATACGAACACGTTGTCCGGCTTTTCTGGCAGATCATCCTCAAACTTCCACAGTACTCTTTGCGAAAGTTTCGAGAACACTTTTAGGAACATGTCCTTGAGTCTCTTTGGCAAAAGTTTGCTCTTTACGTTTGAGCCCAAACTCACGTAGACGAATCCGTCTGTAGCGCCATCTAAGAACTTTCGTAGATCCTGCAAAATAATATTTACAAATATATCATCTACAGCTTCGTGCCTGCCACCTTATTCTTTATGAAAAGCACGAACCTCCGGTAAAGGCTTCAAGTCCTTTTCCACGTGAAACGCACCAAACGTCATGACGTTTGGCACGTGTGGTCTTACGAACGAAGTATAATGATTCTGGGCGACAAAGGCGATACTCATGTTTTCACCAATTCTGGCCACATCCGGTGTATCCGGTCCTAGGTATCTCTTTGAGATTTCATC